CGCCCCCCCCCCCCAACCTCAGCTCCGTCCCCCCCATCCCCCTCCCACTCTGGGACCCCCCCAACCTCCCTGCACCGAGTTCCTTCCCCCCACAGCCCCCCCGGCCTCTCTGAGCCCCAGCACCCCCTCCCACCTGCCCCCCATGCATGGGGGTGGGGACAGCTTGTGGGGGGGGAAGGGGCAGTGTGCGTGGGTGGGACACGGGCGGGAGGCTACGTACCCATTGGCTTCGATTGGAGGAGCCGATTGCTGCAGAAAGAAGCGGGGGGAATGGAGTGAGTGGGGGGAGAGCAACCTCCCTGCTGTGACCCCCCCACAACTCTCCCCGTACCCCACTGCACCCCCCAGCCCTCTGCCCCCACCTCCCACCCTCTGATCTCTCTTACCCCCATTTTCTAGTCACCCCCTCCCCCCACTGTGCCCCCCCAATCCCCACCTTTCCCCCCACACACCCCACATTCCCGCTCCCATCCCCCACAACCGCCCCCCACACCTGCCTCCTCCCCACCCCACACTCCCCTCATCTGATGAGGGGTCACCTCTCCCCCACGCCAGTCACCTGCGCCCGGCGCACTTCATGCCGGTGCTGGGTCTCCACCGGATCCTCCCAGGGCTGCCCGTCGGGGCCCAGGCGGGGCGGGACCCAACCGCTTTGGAAGGTCAGGGTATAAGGGGTGGCGTAGTCCCCGGGGAACTCCACCCTGTGGGGAGAGACAGAACCACGGATGGCTGGAACCATGGGAATCGTGGGAATCGTGGGAAACAATCAACGGGCAGAAATTGGGGGTGAAATCATGGGTGAAAAAATCACAGAGTCAGGGGCAAAAATCATGGACGGTGGGCAACAATCACGGGTGAAAACCATGGGCAAAATGTGGAATCATGGATGAAAAATCAAGGAATCGCGGGCAACAATCATGGGTGAAAATCACAGAATCACGGATGAAAATCAAGGAACCTTGGGCAACAATCATGAGTGAAAATCACAGAACCGTGTGTGAAAAATGACAGAATCATGAGTGGAAAAATCACAGAATCATGGGTGAAAATCATGGGTGAAAATCATGGGCAAACCAGTGGAATCATGGGTGAAAAAAATCAAGGTGCCCTGGGGCAAAAATCATGGGTGAAAAAATCACAGAATCATGGGTGAAAATCATGGATAAAACATGGAATCATGGGTGAAAAATCAAGGAATCACAGACAGCAATCATGGGTAAAAAAATCACAGAATTAGGGACAAAAACCATGGAACTGTGGGCAACAATCATGGGTGAAAACCATGGGCAAAACGTGGAATCATGGGTGAAAAATCAAGGAATCATGGACAACAATCATGGGTGAAAATCACAGACTCATGAGTGGAAAATCACAGACTCATGGGTGAAAATCACAGGCAAACCAGTGGAATCGTGGGTGAAAAATCAAGGAACCCGGGGCAGATCCCACACCTGGCAGAGCCGGGCACAATCTTGGGCAGACATCATGGAGAACCAAAAGCAGCGCCCCAGCTCTGCTCCCCCCCCCCCAGCCCCAGGGCGAGCGAGGTACCGGGGCCGGGTCCAATTGTCGCCCAGCGAGCCCCACAGCTTGGCGTCCTGGGCCCCCAGGCAGCCCCGCAGCAGGGTGACGGCCTCCAGGGTCAGCATGGGGGAGCGGATCTCGCTGGCGAACTCTGGGCCCCCCGACGACTCCACCACCTGGGGGGGAGAGGGAACAGGGAGAGGTGAGAGAGACCCCCGGATCCCAGCCCCCCCCCCCCCCCCGCCCCCGCAAGGGACCCCCCCCCCCCCCCCCCCCCCCCCCCCCCCCCCCCCCCCCCCCCCCCCCATGCTGGGATCCCTCCCTCCACCCCCTCCAGCTCCCCCCATGCTGGGATCCCTCCCCCCAATCCCCCCCACCCCCGGATCCCCACAACTCCAGACCCTGCGGTCCCCTCCTACCCTAACCCCCCAGCTCAAAGTCCCCAAATGCCCAGCCCCTGCCATGTTCCCCCCAACCCCTCCAGTCCTGCTCCTGGCCACTTCAGCCCCTACCCACAAGCCAGGGTCTCCCCCCCAACCCCAGCTCACGCAGGCCCCTCCGTCCCCCCCCCCCAACCCCAGCACTGGCAATTCCAAGCCCCACAGCTGGGGCTAGGACAGCCCCCCCACACTTCTGCCCCCCATCCCCCCACTCACCATTTTCAGGGGGCCAAACAGGAAGTGAACCAGCTCCTCCGAAGTGGGATTTGAGATGTTTGACTGGAGTCTTGCCTGGGGGGAGGGGAAGGGAGAGAGACCCCCCCACTCTGGGTCAGTGAACCCCACAAATTCCAGAGGGGGAGGGAGAGTGACCGGACTCCTGGGTTCTTTCACTAGGGAGGGGAGAGTGGGGTCCAGTGGTTAGAGAAGGGGGCTGGGAGCCAGGACTCCTGGGTTCCATCCCCAGCTCTGGGAGGGGAGTGGGGTCTAGTGGTTAGAGCAGGGGGAGCTGGGAGCCAGGACTCCTGGGTTCTCTCCCTGGCTCTGGGAGGGGAATGGGGTCCAGTGGATTAGAACAGGGGGGAGGGGATGCTGGGAGCCAGGACTCCTGGGTCCCATCCTGGGCTCTTGGGGGGGGGCGAATGGAGGTCCCCGTTGCAGGGGGAGATACAGGGCTGCGTTCCCCCCTCCCCAGCCATCACTCACCAGGAGGCTGAAGGAATATTTCATCTTGGCCAGGGTGTCCTCGAACTCTTCCATGGGGGGTGGCCGGGCCCGCAGGGTCAGGAGCCCCTCTGCAGGGGAAGGAAAGGGTTAACCCGGCGCTGGGGCGGCGGGGGGCGGGGGAAGGGGTTTCCGAGGAGGGCTGCTGAGGAAGGGGGTCGCTCACCCTTAGCACCCGGTGGTGTCCCCGGGTAATTCCAAGTATGGGGTGTATTGGGGGGGCAGACAGGGGAGATCTCGTGTGGGGGGGCAGAGGGGTTTCTCTCACCCCAGCTCCTGGCAGCACCCCTTGGCCCAGTGCGGGGTGTATGGTGGGCAGGACGGGGTGGGGAGGAGACGGGGGTCTTGGGGGGGCAGATGGGGGGTTTCAGGGTGTCTCACCCCCTGGCAGCGCCCCCAGGCATGGGCGGTTCCCAGTGGGGGGCGTATGGGGGCAGGACGGGGTGGGGAGGAGATGGGAGGTCTCGGGGGGGCAGAGGGGGGGTCTCAGGGTCTCTCACCCCCCGGCTCCCGGCGGCGCCCCCGGCCCGACCGTTTCAGCTGCTCCAGGATCCGAAAGGCCTCGGCTGATTTCTGCAGTTTGCCCACGAAAGCTTCGATGTCGTCGAAGATCCGGTTCAGCAGCTCCTGGGGGGGGGTAACCGGGGGGGCTGGGGGTGAGCGGGGGGGGGGCTGGGCCCCCCTGCGCCGCCCCCCGAGGCCCCCCCCCCCAGGCCCCGGCCCGCCGGGGGGGGGGGGGCTGCAGCAGATCGTCCCCCCCCGGCCAGGGGATGGGGCGAACAAGCAATCCCAGCCCCACCTCATCCCTCCCCCCCCAATCTCCCCTCCCCCCACTGCCGCCCAGCCCCCCGGCTCCCTCCCAACACCCCATCACTTGTACCCTAACCCCCCATACCCCGAAATCTCCCCTCCCCCCACTGCCTCCCAGCCCCCCGGTTCCTCCCCGACACCCCGTCCCTTGTACCCTAACACCCCCAAATCTCCCCTCCCCCCACTTCCACCCAGCCCC